TTTTATCCATTATAGTCTTTCTCTGAACTAAGTATTTTGACTGTGGTTTTTAAAGGTGTCATTAGCTGCCTTTCCCTCTTCATTTGCTAATCTCCTCCTTCATTCAGGGTCAGGCTAGCTCATTTCCCTCAGGCTTAACTGCTGTTTTCATCATTCACCATTACTTTTAACCTTCAGCCTTGTTTAGATATCTATGAAGGTAGACATCCAGTGGTACAAGACAATGACCAGTACCTTTTTTTTTTTTTTTTTTTTTTAAATTTTTGGGACACCAACTTTGTTCACATGCATGCTCACAGAAGTGACAAGTCACTGAAAACACAGTGTATTACTCAGGTTTTTTTACTTAGGCAGCTGATTGCTAAAAAGATCCTTAAATTCCATTTTCCCTAGCCCTTAGATGAGTCTGAAGGTTTTGCATTTGAGTGTGAATATAGAAGTCCCTATTGATCTCTATGGAGTCTTTATAATTCAAGTAAATATCAGTGATCTTGATGATTGCCAAGTGTTTTCTTGCTGTAGGTTATTTTAAAACTCTGTGAGATCTGATTGTATACTGGAATTTGATACCAGTCCTACCTCTACCCCTCTAACACATAACCCATAGATTTTGGGAAAATTGTGGACATATGTGATTCAAACCCAGTTTTGACTGGAAGGTATATTGCAGACCCATTTCAAGTTTATTCCTACAATTGCTTCCAAGTTTCCTACTTTTATTCTTTCTCAGACTTTGTAACTCATCGCTAAGACATCCTTTCACAAGAAAGCTTTCCTTTTTTCTGCTAAACACTTATGATTTCTATTGAAGTTGCTAAATGGTTGAGTGGTCCAAGGACAATTTCATACAGATTGTGAGACTGGTTAATGGGTACTGTAAAGTTTTTTTTATAGAAAATTATATAGTGAATACAGAGATTTCACTAGAGCCTAAGCTATGTTGTTCATCCGTAGAATTTTCTTCATTCACAACATCTAAGGAGCAGAAAAATAGAGCTGAGGCCAAACTTACTGGTGCAGAGATGTCCAGAAGTGAGGCTTTGCCTAGTGGATTACCCCAGAAGTGCACTTTGTGTGAAGAACCATGTTCTTCATGACTGCAAATATGTGCAAGAATTATTTTTGAAGTCAGTTGCTCAAAGAGCATATGCAGACAGCCAATCATTTGGGTCACTTGTTTTTAATGGTAAATAAAACTACTTGAGTCGGTCATACAGATACTCTCAATGATAAAATATTTTCAGGCTCAAGTGGTTAAGCAAATATTAATATGAAGAGTATATCTCAAATTTAAATAATTGGTAGCTTTTGTTATGCCATTTATGAAGCACAGAATGCTATTTTCATTAAAAATATTTTTGGAATCTCATTACTGAAGATAGTGTTTCACAAAAATTTGTGTAACTGATGTGTGTAACGTAACTTGCTTCAACAAGGATTCACAAAGAAGTGTTCGTGACCAGATTCCCTCTTGGATAGAGCAGGACCGAGCCTGGGCAGTAGCATCTTTGAAGGTATGTATCACGTGGTGGGTGGAATTTGACTTAAAAGGCCTTGGGTTTTAGCAAATAGTAATTTGGACTTCAATATTCAAATATGTACTTGTCAGATGGAAATATTTTCTTACTTTAAAGTGTTTATTCTATCTTCCATAACTTAACATATACCCACTTGGAAAAAAAAAATACAAAAAACAACTGAATTTTTAAATAATTTAATCTAATTTTTCTGACCTTTTTCATGTACATCTCTACTCCATCTAACAATGAATTTCAGTGCATGTGAATGAACCTCTCATGCTACTGAGATTAGAAAATACTAAAAGTCTACCCAAGTTACTCCAATTTCTACAGACAGAAAAACATATTGAGAAAAAATTGCAAACAATATTTAAGTTGCAGGTTTCTCTTATCTTAAGACTTTCACAAACCACTTCATATTGTATTAAAAACAATAAACTGTTAATTGGGAAACTGATTTTCTAGTTACCAGATCTCCATGCACATCTTCAAAGGTGTTTCAGAGTTTGGTATTGCTCAGATCAAATAATTTAAACTAAACAAAAAAACTCATTTTCTTGCTTTGATTCATCCTGCAACAGTCAGTGCTGAAGTCCTCTGAGCCTGAAGGGAACTAAATGAAAATACCAGTCCTTGAAATTCTGTCTTAGTCTCATCTCCTGCATGTAGCTCAGCAGCAGGAAGAAAAACCTTGACTGGTCTTTGGCAAGAAATTTTGCTACTAAATCCAGGGATCATTATTTTTAATTTCTCTTCACCAGAGATCAGGAAGAATTGCAGTAATGGTGTGGCACGCATGATTGTTAGGGCTTTAAAAAACAACCACCCAAACAAACAGAAAGTGAATAACTGTGTGCATCAGTAGCATGTACTTATAGAGAAAGAACCTGGTCATGATTAAAGGAAAAACTTCAATTGGGTAGAGCCCAAAGTTTAAAACTAAAGAACGTAGAAGGTTAAAACCAAAAATATAGAGCAGATACAGACAGCATTTCCAGGGAATAAGTAAACCACTGGTTAATTTTAAAACCTATCCTTTTCTTTAACTCTGAGGGAAAAATTGAATTATGTGTTATGCACAAGTATTTACTGGTTTAGAGTCATAGTGGTATTTGGAAATTAATTAAAATATGCAATGTCCAAATGGCTGTTCATCTTCGTTGTTAAATAGTTATTATTTGTTTTGTAGATTTCTCTCCCAGGTCTCTATCAGACACTTTGCTTTGAAGATGGAGGTCTGTGGTACACTTTTTCTCAGAGCTCTGTGTGTGAACAAGATTTTCCATCTACTATTGCAAAAAGAATCTCCTTATTTCAGCAGGTAATCTTTTCATATGAAATTACTTAAAAATAGTTGGGCGTTTAGTACTGAAAGTAAGTTTTGCATCTTGGGAATTTAGGCTGCAGGCCTGGTTGAATTACAAGCAGTGACAGTATGTGCCTTGTCTTACAGCTTAACTAGTTTATGTAGTCTAGAGAGTTTTTTTTTTTTTTTTCAAATACCTAATTCATTCTCTCTTACCTGAGTCTTTTTTACATTAGCATATTTGATGCAGCTGAGCATACCCTGTAAGGTAGCAAGCTCTTTGTTAATATTCATAGAAGTATTATGAATAGGTATTAAAATTCTTTCATGGTTGCTTTATTACTGAAGAACTTGTTAGCTTATGGAGCATCATTAATTTAGTTCATAATTAAATGTGCAAACTTATACATATGACTGAAAACTACAAGATGCAGTAGCAGCCACTGCTTTTTAGAAGAGTAGTCTTCTCAGTACTGAAATATTTTATATCTAATGAAATACTACTCTTCCTAAAAGCTTGGTGATTAAAGAAGTCACCAAGGATGTTGGAGAGGCAAGTTCGTTCCTCCACCCAGGAATCCTTCTCCTCTGGAAAAGAAAAATATCATCCCTCTTGGGTTTGTGGAAGAAAGGGTGTCACTACTTACTTTCAAATGATGCTGTGATTTTTCATCTGAGGTCACTTTATATAGAATGAAAAAGAAGGAATGAGATTTAAGACAATGCAGTTTCGTGCTGGTTGGCGCCAGGGGCTCTCTATTTAAGCTTTTGTGGATGAGGAGAATTTCTAAAATAGCATGCACGACATTTAGGAACAAAACATTTGGAAAGGAATTTGTCAGACTCATGCTTGATTTCATGAAATCCAGAAGAGCAATTTTTATGTGTGCATTGTGTTGTCATAAGAATTCTGCATTTATAGGAAAATAAATCTGGAATGATCAGCACATTACATATCTAGTTCCTTGCGTAGAAAGTACTAAGCATGTTTCTGTTGATGAAATATACTGAAACAACCAGATTTATATGCCACTCATAAGTTAGTTTCTTTCTAACTGTATGTTAAAAATAGTGCAGCAGTGCTTAGTGTAATCTCAACCCCTAAAAGCAGTACTTTCTTAAAGATTTAATGAAGTTAATTTTTTCCTCCAAAACTAACAACAGATATTCCAGATTTGGAAACTGGAATGTGACCGTAGGTTCAGAATTGTGGTTTACAGGTCTGCAAGTAAGTGGGTAGGAGAAGAGGTGGTGATTTTAACAAATCACTTCTACTGAAGTTGCATTAGATGCCTGCAGTTGCCTTCACTGAATAGCTGCAGGAAGTAAGGAAACTGCTAATATAATTTTATCTGAATTGATTAGCTCTTCATGTTCTGTAGTCTTTTGGAGAACAGTAAAAGTCCCTGCAAAAATAAGAGGTTTGAAAGTCAGAATGTCTCCAAAAAAGAAGTTAGATGTAAAACTCTAGAAGTGTGCCTAAACAAAGTAAATTCTTTCAAAACTGATTATTTTACTGTACTACTGCACTGAAATCGGAAACATCAGTATTCCAGTTAGGAATACTGCTGCCTAAATGCATGTATAGAACTTCGATTACCAGTATAAACCTGAGTTTGCTCTCTGTCATTCTAACTACCCACATAGCTACCTTTTTCCTAAAATATTGTAGAAAAAGTTCCAACTTGCAAATAGGCATTAGATGTAGATCTGTCTTCTGAATCTGTTAATAGGTCAAGCTACTTACAAAAGGACAATTACATGAAATTATCTTGGAAATGAATGATCAGATAGATCTATATATTTAGAGAAAAAGCATTTGTTCTAAAGAGAAGTTTAAAGAATTCAGCCTTCTTAGATGAATCTTGCTTTTTAAACTGTCACAATATACTTTTATAAACTCATGTCCTCTGAATATATCTTATTTTAAGGTACTTGTGGTCCAGGCTGTCCGACCAGACAGACTACAGAGTGCCATGGCTCTTTTTGCATGTAAAACCCTAGGTAAGTTAATTTTTCACCAGGGTGTTTCCACACAAAAATTAAGTATCTATTTTGTTCTGTGTCTCTCTTTTATTTTATAGTTCTTACGGAATCCTAAGTTTTAGTATTTGAAAATATGCAATAAACGGATTTGCTGATTTTGTTCTTGTAAGATATTGTTAAAACGTGCTTTTAAAATGGTTTGATTTATGCTGCATAGTGATTTGGACTATAATAAAAGGTCTGTCAGATTTTTGTAATTAATTTTTGAATACTAAGTAATTAAGAAGGGAGGATAGCTGGTTTTCTGTATGTTTTACACTAGAGCTGTTTCCTTAAGACACAAATTTTCCAAAAAGTTTATTTCACTTAGTGTCACTTACCATTTAAAAACAGTTAGGTTTGAGATTTGTATTCTTTTTTTTTAAATTTGATCTCAAAAGATTGTTTCTTATTATCAGTTATTTTTATCACTCTCTCGGACTGTAATATTATTTTTACAGTCTGCTGAGAAATACAGATGATTTACAGTGATGCAGTGCTATGATTGTCTATTTGTTCTAGTCTGTCTGTTTCCTCTCTGAGGTCTACTGTATTGAAAGTTTGGGATTTATATTCCAAATAATCTTACTATTGTAATACTGCATTCCTTCACTTTTTAGCAGTTAATGACAATACACATATAGAATCACAGAATCATAGAATGGTTTGGGTTGGAAGGGACCTTAAAGATCATCTAGTTCCACCCCCCCTGCCATGGGCAGGGACACCTTCCACTAGACCAGGTTGCTCAAAGCCTCATCCAGCCTGGCCTTGAACACTTCCAGGGATGGGGCATCCACAGCTTCTCTGGGCAACCTATTCCAGTGCCTCACCACCTTCTCCGTGAAGAACTTCTTCCTGATATCCAATCTAAACCTCCCCGCTTTCAGTTTGAACCCGTTACCCCTTGTCCTGTCACTACAGACCCTTGTAAAAAGTCCCCCCCAGCTTCCTTGTAGGCCCTTCAGGTACTGGAAGGTGCTATAAGGTCTCCCCAGAGCCTTCTCTTCTCCAGGCTGAACAAGCCCAACTCTCTCAGCCTGTCCCCACAGCAGAGGTGCTCCAGCCCTCTGAGCATCTTTGTGGCCTCCTCTGGACTCGCTCCAGCTGGTCAATATCCTTCTGATATTGAGGGCCCCAGAGCTGGATGCAGCACTGCAGGTGGGGTCTCACCAGAGCACAGTACAGGTGCAGAATCCTATCCCTTGACCTGCTGGCCACACTTCTCTGGATACAGCCCAGGATACGGTTGGCTTTCTGGGCTGCCAGCGCACACTGCTGGCTCATGTTCAATTTTTCGTCCACCAGTACCCCCAAGTCCTTCTCCTCAGGGCTGCTCTCTATACACTCTCCACCCAGCCTGTACTTGTGCTTGGGATTGCCCCAACCCAGGTGCAGGACCTTGCACTTGGCCTTGTTGAACTCCATGAGGTTGGCAGTGGCACTCCATGAGGTTGGAATGTGAATTATGAGTGTCTCATTTGGATGGACACTGTAGTTCTAAAGGTCACTGCTGTATGTAGAGACAAGGCAAAATTTGTTGGTTTTAATGTGGCACAGTGTTAAGACAGAAGTGGGATTAACAGAAGGGAAAGGATTGATTTTAAAAGACCTTAAATATAAGTGACAAAGACAGGTTTTAATGCGGTAGAACACGAAGCTGGAAAACTGACTCCTAGACTGCGAAGGTAATATGGCTGAACTTACATTTCCAGTACTTGTGAAGGTCTGCAGTTAGAATGAATGTCCCTGAGATGGGTGATTTTGCTTGATAACATAATAGATGTGTTACATACAAAAGCAGTGGCTATTGTAATTTTAAGTTCTTTATTAAAATGTCATTTCTTATTAGTATAAGATTAGGTATGAGTTTAGGTCTCTGACTGGTTTAAATTGAGAGTGGGGAGGTTTAGATTAGATATCAGGAAGAAATTCTTCACAAAGGGGGTGGTGAGGCACTGGAAGAGGTTGCCCAGAGATGTTGTGGATGCCCCCTCCCTGGAAGTGTCCAAGGCCAGGCGGGATGAGGCTTTGAGCAACCTGGTCTAGTGGAAGGTGTCCCTGCCCATGGCAGGGGAGTTGGAAGTAGATGGTCTTTAAGGCCCTTTCCAACCCAAACCATTCTATGATTCTTACTTTTTTAATGACATTTGTGTGAGAGTTGGTCTTACTCTCTCTTGATGCTGTCTGTGGGCATTATGTGTTGGTCAGAATTAGTTCCAAGTAAGCCACCAATGCCGGTATTTTCAGGAGTAAGGTTAGTCTGCTCTGTCAAACATTATTAGTAGACAGACAGAGTACTTCCATCGTGGTGCTTGTACAGGTCCCGCACGGACAGTGTCCCTGCCTGCCAAATGAAAAGTGCCATCTGCAGTACATGTGGCTGTAAGCCCAGCAGCAACCTGAATGCGCAGTAAGCTTATTCACGCACTTACTGTCTTCCGAATCTTAATGTATTACACAAATTGGTTAGGTCCATCTTGATAGTGGTTCCTTGGAGGCATTCTGCAAGGGAATTTTTTTTTGTGAATGAAACAGCCTTACTCAGGAATACTTTTGACTCCATTTGTAGGTGAGGTTTCATCCACAGATTTTTCATGCGTATCAGTGAGTTTATATTTTGACATCATTACATAGTCATGACTAGCACTTTCCAACTAATAAGGGGGTCGCACTTGTATTACTTTTTCCACCAGGCCATTTTCAGGATTCTTACCCTGAAACGTCTTAAAGTAACTGTTTCACTTACATCAAAAGGAAACCATTAAGCTTCCAATCTCCTTCGGATGTTTTCTTGTGAGAAAAATGAGTTCCAAAAGAGCTGTAATAGCCTACAAAAAAGTCTTCCACTTCTGTTTTATCGAGATATGGGTTTTTTTTTCCCTTTTTCATCTTTTACGTATATTTTTAAATTTATGGATGAAGGGGGATTAAAATAACTTCTTTTGAAGATAAAGTTCATAAGAATTTTCTATAAATGTATTTTTGGGCATCCAAAGTGTGGTTATTTCTTTATTTTGCATGCTATACTGAAATGTACATGTTAGCAAAAATCATATTGATGGTATATTCCCAAATCATTCCATATTGCTCATTGAGTTGGGTTTTTTGTATCTTCTTTAACTTAGTTTTTTGAGTCTGGATAATCAGAAATAGTATTTAAAGAGACTTGATTTTAATTACCTACATTTTCATATTCTTAAAAAAAAGCAGTAGAGATACACATGAAGAAAATCACTGCGGGCCTAAGCAGTCTGTATTTTATTCTCACAGACCACTTTCTTTAAATTAGACCACAGCTCTCAGGATCGTGTGGCATGTAGGCCAAAATAAATTTATTTGCCAAAACTAAAAAAAAAACCAAAAACCAAAAACCAACCCCAAACACCCAACCCCAAACCTCTCCTGCTTGTTATATTGGAATTGTTAATAATAATAATAATACATTTTCTGATATTTATGTACATGGTTTCTCTGTGTACAGATAGCAACAGAAGGAATGTTAACAAGCAATTTGAGTTCAAGTTCCAGCTGTTGTAAATTGGTTTAATTGCCTGGGTGTCAGTGGAGAAGTTTTGGGAAAAGTTGTTCATTGATTTTATGGAAAATTCATCAGTTTATAAAAAATGCATCTTGTGCTAAACTTTGTATTAATATGTCACATCTTTCTTTTTTCCTGTTTGATTTTCCCCCTCACACACACACTTTAGACATTTTCTGAAAAGTTATGTATTCTCACATATGCTTTTTCTTCTCATGTCAGGATGTCAATTTGGATAGTAAGATTTAAGGAATTCTGTTAGAACAGAACATGGAGTCAGAAGAGCATGTCAGGAATTCCCACTCTGACTGCAGAGTACTTATCTGGAATATGAGTGCTTATTGATTGACCCTGAATACATTGGTGTCCTTCTTTTTTTAATTCTGTAAATGTAATCCTGGCTATAATGGTCAAGAATATATCAGGCTGTATTGTAGTTTTTCCGTATTTCACTTCTGTTGACCTTCCTTAACACAAAAAGCACCTTCAGCAGTGCTACGCTTCTTCTAAACATAGTGTCCAAATTTCAAAAAAAACAAAATGTTTTATGGAATAAAACTTACATTCTATTAATTTTTTTAAATTATGCATCTCATGAGTACTACAACATAAAGTTGCAGGTGTACACACGTTTGTCTGTTGCCCAGACATAGCTTTTTATTCTCTTGCCCAGTTAATGCAAGTCCAGGCAGTTGTCTGCAGTTAACACAGAGTTATGTAGGATATTAAAACTATTCAATTAAGCTTCTCGGGAATCCACGTGCCTTCTACTTGCACTGCTAAAAATAATAATACAGCCAACAGTCTCTGGTTTATCTTGATTTTATTATATTCCATTAACCTGTTTGTAGCAGCAAAGCATCTTAGGAACAGGAACTTCAGAATGGTTGAACAGGTGAAGAAGATAGGTCTGTCTAGCGTGTTATTGTCTTTGTCAATGACAAATAATAAACGTTAAGGTATGTGTAAGAACATCACAAGCCTGTAGTGAAACCTGTTGCAGTGACCAGCCTTATGTCTCCGTAGTTTCCCAACTGGAAGTAATAATAGTACTTAAAAGACCCGGTGGATTTGACTTCTGTGACCTTGTAGGTCTGTTCCACGTTTTGATGTAATAACAAATATAGAATCATAGAATGGTTAGGGTTGGAAGGGAACTTAAAGATCATGTAGTTCCACCCCCCCTGCCATGGGCAGGGACCCCTTCCACTAGACCAAGTTGCTCAGAGCCACATCTAGCCTGGCCTTGAACACTTCCAGGGATGGGGCATCCACAGCTTCTCTGGGCAACCTGTTCCAGTGCCTCACCACCCTCTCTGTGAAGAATTTCTTCCTGACATCTAATCTAAACCTCCCTGATTGCAATTTATACCCATTACCCCTTGTCCTATCACTACAGGCTCTTGTAAAAAGTCCTCTCCCAGTACCCTTGTAGGCCCCCTTCAGATACTGGAAAGCTGCAATGAGGTCTCCTCGGAGCCTCCTCTTCTCCAGGCTGAACAAGCCCAGTTCTCGCAGCCTTTCGTCATAGGAGAGGTGCTCCAGCCCTCTGAGCATCTTCGTGGCCTCCTCTGGACTCGCTCCAAGTGGTCAATATCCTTCTGATATTGAGGGCTCCACAGCTGAATGCAGTACTCCAGGTGGGGTCTCAAGTACTCCAGGTGGGGTCTCAAATATCTGCAGCATTGCATGATGCCTATTCCACAGTGTTAATTAGTGGTCAGAAAGAGCTCTGCTTGGTTTTCATATCCTTGCTGCATGTTGATTTCAACAGATAGTTTTACTCCTCTATCTTTCTTAGGATTTGAAACAGTAGTGAAGATTTTCAAAATTGTTTTCTTCTCTGAAATAGAAGTTAATAAAACTTAAAATTTACCTTTCCAAAACCTTGCTTTTAATCACATTCTGATCCAAAATTTGGTATTCAGATTCTCAATATATCTTTATTGCTTATGTAGCTAGTGATTAATTTATAATAATACTTTATGTAATGTTTTAATATTTATATTAAAATAATATAGAAACATTTGTATATTGATACTCATGTTCTCATATTCTAGGTCTTTTCTTTTTGTCTGTTTTCTTGAAGCATACCCTCTAAACGAAGTCTACAGTTTATATTTGTCAAGCTGGAAGTCCAAGCACTGTTTTGGTGCTTGTGTCTTTTTCTTACCAATGTAGGGTACCTTCTAGCTGCATATTGCAAGGGTTTTTTCCTCATTGTAAGACCAGTTTTATGGTCTCAATTAAACAGATCTTTGGCAGCCAGGTGACCTCTAAATTGGTTAATGAAGCATGCAGTCCTGTGTATTCATTTTATTTCCATAATAATTCTAATTCTAGGAATAAAGGAATTATCTCCATCACCTCTGAATTTGAAACGTCTGTATAAAGAGACTCTGGAAATCGAGCCCATTTTGATAATTATTTCTCCTGGTGCTGATCCTTCTCAAGAGTTGCAAGAACTTGCCACTGTTGAAAGAAATACTGAGTGCTACCATCAGGTCAGTCTTATCTAAGCGTAATGGTTAAAAAACACAATATGTAAAATTTTACAGTTATAATATCAGTTTTCTTTTGTTCTTTAAATATGTATTTGGTGCCTGTGTGTTTGTTATTCCTACCTATCTCACCACTAGCTTCTCATTCTATTGACAAAATGGTTTGGGGAAGAGAGACACAATTAGTAATCTGCACCGAAGCAGAACCCACGTGGGAGGCATTCCTCCCAGCTTGAAGAAGGGGAAAATGAGAAGATAGATGGAAGAGAACAAGAGACCAAGCATTTTTATATATGCTGAAACTATTTTTTTTTAATGTAAAGTAATTGAAATATGAACAAAACCCACTCAAAACTAGACTTCATAATTTCCTCTGCTTATAGGACTTGCGTATTTCTTTTTTTCAACAAAAACCATAAATCAGATGTTCAGTGTGTGTGAATATTTTAGTATTTTGTGAAATTTTACAAGTAAATGTTAACCAGTTAATTGTTGATGGGAGTTCCTGAACAGAACTCTTACATTTCAAGCCTTTTTTTAAAAGTGTTTAAGACTGACCGCACAGGAAAGCTCTCAGATTTCAGGAGTGGGCATACAACACTGAAATTATTTGCCCTGCCAATATAACAGCTGGGTTTTGTCATGGTATACAGCTTCTTCCATGGTTTTCATTCAACACAAAACTGAACTGGGTGAAGATAACTCCTTTTGAGTAGACTTTAATCAGGAATTGTACTGTTAAGAAACCACTTTATATTTTCAATGTTGGTTTCAAAATTTGGTCTACACAGAGGTGTTGAAAACTAATTGTGGGTTTTTTCTTTTTTTTTTTTTTTTTTTTAAGGAAATTTACTGTAGCTCTTAAATTCATAGAATTACCTGGGTTGTAAGTGACTTCGGGAGATCATCCACTTCAACCCCCTTGTTAAGAGAGAAGGTGCTGCTGGAGCATTCACACTCCAATCAAGGAGTCACACACTCACCACCCAGCCCTTTCACTGCTGGGACCTGAGTCCCTTCACAGTGGGTGACCCCAGTGAGTGAACAGTACCCCTTTTGACACTTCACACACACACTCACTCTTGGGTGTTTCGTCTCCACTCAGACTTGACCCTTGTTTTCCCAAAGCAGAATCTCTGACATGACATATGCCAGATGAATGTATTGAGCAGTATGGCGGCAAAGAACAGCTTGAGGGGGGTGCCTCCAGAGAGGCACCTATCCTTTTGAGCTAGGAAGGGACTACTGTAACAACCCTGCTTAGAGCGGGGAGGTTCGCTTCCAAGGATGGAGATCCCACAATGTCTCTGGCTGACTTGTTCCATTATTTGGCCACTCTAACAGGAGAATGTTTTTCCTAATATCCCATCCTGTGTGTATTGACTGATGTCCTACCACCACGTGCCTCTGAAAGAGTCTGGCTCTCCTCAGCATTCTTCAGTCAGGTAGTTTTAGACAGGAAGAAGGTCTCCTGATTGCTTGGCTAAATGGAAATGGAAAATGTCAAATTGCATGTTGCTTTTAAATAGTCCTTCAAATTGTTCTTTTCCTGGAATGTGTAGAGATGCAATATATTTTTCCCATCAAATTGTAAAGATTTACATTCTACTGCTAGCTTATCTAGCTGTGAATGTTTGAGAATGCACGTTGCTTACTCTGCCACCTGGCTTTTTCTGTTTATCTCTACATATCCTTTACATGCTGGACTTTTAAAATGTAACATGGTATGGTATTTGGTTAAGGAGAGCTACTTAAAGCTGAATCATCTGAATGTTGTCCTACTAATGAGAATATTTTGTTGTTAGTATTTTTTCCTGCACTTTTTCATGCAATTTGCATAGAATGTAAAAGATCAGATTTGTATTCTCTTTCGAATCATGTCTCATATGGGATAAAGAACAGACCACTACATTTGTGTGGTGTACAACCATATTGTCTGGTGACTTTCAGTTATCATCTTTTGACTGTTTTAAATTATTTCAGGGTATTATACTCAGTTTTATTTAGGCAGAAGATATCTCTATCATCATATAAATCTAAGGTCCCAAGTTTCTTTGATTCTGTACAGTTTTAGGATAAAAAGACAGGATAGATTTGCTCTTAAGGGATATTTAATGAAGTGATGATAATCACAATATTTCTATTTCTACTATAGCAGTAATGCCAAAACAAGACTTTTCAGGTTGGCTAAGATCACCTTCTTTTCACTTCGTTTGTTTCAGGATTTTTTGTTATGTGTAGCTTCCAATTAGATTGTGAGGGAGATCTAAGGTGAATGTACGCTACAGGTGGTCTGACATCAATTTTTGCAGTAATTGTGCCACAGAAGTCACCCTTTATTTATTAAATTATTTATTTAATTTATCTGAAAATTCAGTTTTGAATCTTTGTATTTCCATTTGAACATCCAAATTTATTGTCAGTAATATGGTGCTACAAAAAAGGAAGGAAAGACTGTTTGTTAAACTGTTCATATTTCCCACGTGGAAAGAGAGCAGCCTTAGTTTTTCACTGATCTTAATAAGAAACTGAGTGTTTCTTTTCAAAGGCAGTACTCCTAAGAATATTCCTCATTTATCTCTTGTTTTTATTGTATCAACAGTTCTGCAATGATACAGTTTAGTCACTGATATTTAAATTATTTTTTTAGTTCCCAGGGAATACCGTCACTGTATGTGATATATGTTTTTTCCTAAAAAAACAAGGTAATGTTGTTTCTTAGGAAACTCTGTTTAGATAGGTTTCAAAGAAAAACTATGTTTTCCTTTATCTTTTCCCCTCTTGTTTTTATTGTATCAACAGTTCTGCAATGATACAGTTTAGTCACTGATATTTAAATTATTTTTTTAGTTCCCAGGGAATACCGTCACTGTATGTGATATATGTTTTTTCCTAAAAAAACAAGGTAATGTTGTTTCTTAGGAAACTCTGTTTAGATAGGTTTCAAAGAAAAACTATGTTTTCCTTTATCTTTTCCCTATTCTGGTTGTCTTTAGCACACCTCTTTTACATATGCTCTCTAACTTGGAAACATTTTTTATTTAGCTGTTAAATGAGGTATGATAAATTCCTGATACAACTGTGTCTGCAATTTCAGATTGCAATGGGCCAAGGCCAAGCTGACCTGGCTATTCAAACTTTAAAAGAATGTGCACGCAATGGAGAATGGCTGTGTTTAAAGAACCTGCATCTTGTTACATCTTGGCTTCCTGTATTGGAAAAGGTGAGTGTACCTAGAGAAGAAAGTTTTGGAAACCAGACAAAATTAGTATGTAACCATTTCTGAAGCATTTCAGGCATTTCCATGATGATGTTTAAAATTCTGTCAATTTAAAAATAAACCTTTGCAGTTTTGCAGTTTTCTTAATCATGAATAAGATGAAATGCTTCAGATCTAAGCAGCTCCTTCTTTGTGTGAGCACTCTAACTTTAAACCAATGTAAAGTAATTCTGCCACAATGAGCGATCAGATTGTCCTGTTAGGGCTTCCGGTACTTTATGGTGTGGTGTCCGTGTTTGCTGAACTCTGAATCTATATATGCTTAAATTTATTCTTCTTTTTTTTTTTTTTCCCCTGATGCTAGAACCTTTTTTCATAGCTGTCTTTTGTTAAGTGTAGCTTATGTCTGAGTCACTAAGAGGTTTTTGCTAATTTGCAATCGAAATGTTGAATATTTTATAGATACTCTTATGGCATGTAAAAAGTGTCTTTACATGTATATCACTGTGAAATCCACAAAACAAACTAACTAAAAAAGGCAAGGAATTCCTGCCAACAGATACTACTAAATATGGACCTGAGTGTACAACAGTGAGGTTGATTGAAAACTGGCCTAACTACATGGCTCAAAGAGTTGTCTTCAGCAGCAAAAATCCATCTGGAGGCCAGTCATCAGTGGTGTGCTCCAGGCGTTGATACTGTGACCAACATTGTTTATCATATTAATTAATGACATGAATAATGAGACAGTGCTTCCTCAGCAAGTACAGATGGTACAAAACTGGGAGAAATGATTGTTACAAAAGATGGGTATGGTTTCATTCAGAAAGGACTGGAGAAATCCGTTGACAAGAACCTTGTGAAGTTCAGCAAAGGGAGATGCCAAGTGCTTACCATGGGAAGGAGTAACTCCAGGCACCCAGACAGTCTGGAGGCTACCTGGCTGAAAAGTAGCTTGGCAGAAGACCAGGGAGTCCTGGTGGGTAAGAAGCTATGACCCAGCAACATGCCATTGCAGCAAAGACAACCTCCTGGGCTGCTTTAGGCAGTGTTGGCAGCAGGTCAAGGGTGTCTCAGCCCTGGTGAGACACATCTGGGGTGCTGTGTCCAGTGCGGGGCTCCCAGCACAAGAGAGGCATAAGCATACTGGAGCCAGTCCAGTAAAGGGCCACAAAGGTGATGAAGGGACTGGAGCATGTGTCATGGAAGGAGAGACAGAGAACTGGGACCATTCAGCCTAGGGAAGAGAAGCCTTGGGGGGAATCTTATTATTTAGTGTGTATTGGCTTATGAGAAGGAGTAAACTCCAAGCCTTCATCTTTTGAGATGTGGCCTGCTATTGTTTTTTTACTGGAAAAAGGTGAAGAACTGCTATATATTTCTATGCTCTGAATTTAAGATCTCTGTGGGGGAAGTGCAAATATTTTGACACAGCTAGAATGAAGTTCGAACTTGAGCACAGCGAGTGTATAGAATGTGTGGAGACAACACATCTTGAACTATACTCTTTGAATAACCTTACTTGTAAAAACAGCTGAAGAATTTTTAGACAAGCCTAACTTTCTGATTTAGGATATTATAATTTTGTCAGTGCTGTTCTGTACATTAAAAAAACCCAACCCAAAACCTACCTTAACATGTAACTTCTCTTTAATAGGAACTGAATACGTTACACCCTCAACCAGACTTTCGCCTTTGGCTTACTACTGAAGTTCATCCAAAATTTACTCCAATTCTGCTTCAATCAAGTCTGAAAATAACTTATGAAGTAAGACCTGTTTGGAAAGCTTTTATTACGTGTTTACAAGGAATGAACTTGGATTTATAGTAAACTATATAGTTAGATAAAGTTTGGATAATGTGGACTATTTACATAACTGGTTTTGCTTTCTATTTCAATTGGATGTAATACAAAAAGTGCTATGAATTTACCTTGAAATATTTTTAATGCTCAGTTTTGGTGTGTATGTGGAAATTTGCAGAATCTATTCTTTAAAGGGAAGAACAGCTGTTGGTCTTAGTTACAATTTCCTTCATTATGTTTAAGTTATTTTCAATATAAGATCATTCTGTTGTTATATGTTATTTATTACAAGCAGATCTTTTTCTTGTTAGTATTTGTTGTATTAAGTACTATTTGTCATTCCATTAAGTTACAAATTGTAAGTTGGATTTTAGGAATAAAGTACATAGAAGTATCATGTTTTCTGTCTAGAACAGTGTTTTTCCTTCCAATGCAGGCACCTCCAGGCCTCAAAAAGAATCTGTTGCGAACATATGAATCTTGGACACCAGAGCAAATTAATAAAAAGGGAAATTTGTCTCGAGCACACTCTCTCTTTTGTTTAGCATGGTTTCATGCTGTATGCCAAGAACGAAGAAATTATATTCCTCAGGTAATTTTTTTTTTTTGCTGCCTTTTTACAAATTTACCCCATCTATTTGCTTTTATACTTGGAACTATTTTTCATCAGGTGTATACTGGGTCATGTTCAGAGGTGAAAAAAACTTGGGTACTTCTGGTGCCTCTCTTCATTATTGTCTCGGAATTCATTGCAAAATGGCATCATGGTAGCCTAAATTCCTGACCCTCTGAAAATTGCTGCTGCCTGCCTGGGGTTATTTTGTGATTTGTGTATGAACTCGTACTGATGCAGGACTGAGGTCCCATAGAAAAGATTCTGTGAATCCTGTTGCTTGAGACAGGAAAAAACACTTTGGAAACACAACTGAATGGAAGATGTGATAAAAGAGACACTGGTGAGAAGGAGGAGATGACATTGTCTACTCTTTCTGCACACAAACCCTGTTCAAGGAGAAGGAAGAACAAGGGAATTTACTTGTTTCCTGTGAAGATTATAATGGTTTTCAGGGAATGATGTATTTTGTTCTGTAGATAAAAGTTTGTTTAAAGCAAACATTTCTTTCTGGCTGCAGATGCTTAAATTAAACAGGGGAAAAAAAACCCCAAAACCAACACCTAACCAACGAACTGTTGTATATCTTGTTTATTTTCTTTAGACTAGTGCTGAAATTAGTCTGTCATCTGAAAGATTTGATCTGGCAGAGCCTGGAATATTTGAGAGTTTTTTGAGAGTTTTAACTTTGTGATTTATAAGGTTGTTTGCCTCTTGCAATAGGAGACTTTGAAAATGATGGTCAAGAAAGAGAATAGTAGAAAATTATGCAAAGTACTGATCTGACACATGGACTCTCACTTGGCTTTCCAAGTGACACAAGATAGGATTACTGTTTTCTTCTTAATTCCACTGTAACTGTTTGTCTTGTGTGCAGACTTAGTGGTGGTTTATATTTTGTTTAAGATTACAGGTTTCTAACATTGCTGGGCTGCAGTTAATCCCACCTAGAATCTCTTGTGTTCTGTAATGTGTTTCAGGTTGTTTTGAGTCCATGTACAGACATGTCAAAAAATGCCCATGAACACTATTGAGACACTTGCAGCATCTTTCCAGTTTATGACCTTCAGCGTGACTGGCTGATAGTTTGATTGTGGTCTGTGGAGCAGCTACAGTCCTGACCTGGGACTGCATCTGTCTCACTGGATATGTGCATGTTACCCGACACATTTGCATGTTTCTCCTCATGAGTCATATGTTCAGTCAAACCTGTCCTAGGATGTGATCCATATGCAGAGGTACAGCCATAAGAAGATACAGCAGTAGGAGCTACCTTTGAGATCTGGATTTCCTAAGTTCTGTATCATATACCAAGATTTAGTTATACCTAGCCGTTTACACTCTTAAGTTTTTTGTAAGAATTGCATGCATATTACACATTAATGATATATAAAGAATAATGCTACCAGACCACAAAGAAAGCTCAAACTGAGAATGATTGAAATATGCAAATGGCAGAATGTAAACTGTGTTTGAAGAGTCAAACCTATTTATGAAAATCCAAAGGAAACTGAAATACATAAAAGCCTTCAGAAATAAAATCATAATTCAATGTGTAATCTAGTCACAGATGTCAGCAAGTTTTAGTCGAAGCAAATACTATTAGGAAATAAAATAATCTTAAATTTACATTCCTCATAATCAATGGATTTATGGATTTTTTGTTTAAGTATGTAAAATTAAATGCATTGGTAGAGCTGATTCTTTTTTTTTTTTTTTTTTACTACGTCCAATGCATGTTTCAAAAATGCACTTTAGAAGACATAGGTTGTCTTTTTTTTTTTTATTCATTGTTAAGTATTATACAGTATTCAGTAACCACATGGTATTTGTGTCTTACTTCATGATCATAATTGTGTGACTAACTAAATTCTTTGTATTTATTTTAATGGTAGGGTTGGACCAAGTTTTATGAATTTTCTTTATCCGATCTCCGTGCTGGTTTTGACATTATTGATACACTTTTTGAGGGTAAGTCCCTTCTTAAGGAAAGATTTCTCACTGCTGTAGCATATCCCATCTGAAACTCACTTAAGTGAATTTTTTAGAATATCAAAATCTTTCACAGTGATTTTTACAAATTGGCTACTTTGCATGATGGTTTTGTTTGGAGTTTGGAGTGGGGCCATTCTGTTTAAAGGCCACTTCGAAGTTATTTGAATTCTGCATCACAATCTTCATTGGAACATTTTCACAAATATAAACATGTGACCAGGTAGTTTGGTAAGTACTTCAGTATGGGAAGTAGTCTAACCCTTAATCAGCTGTGCTTTGGCTTATTAGGCTTTTCTGGACATAGATCCAGACTCTGAGGATATGTCTGTATTAGCAAACTTAGAAGGGCTGGATACAGACTCGAAAATTCTGTTATCAGGTTTATTTTTTCCCATATTTGGCTTATGCAGACTGTCATTCTCAGACAAGGCATGGTTTGTCAGATAGCAGAGCCTTGAGACTCTTTCCAATAGGCGGCAGGTGGGAGGTTACCTTATTTTAGGGCAAAAGAGAGTTTAGCTGTATGGATGCAAGACACCTTGTGCCATCTGACCTTGAGTTCAAAAGATCTGTCCCATTTTACCATCAGTATAGATGTTTCATGAAGAGCTTTGTCCTTCTGCAACACTCTGATAAAAGCAGAGATGCTGCACGGCTCATCACCAGTAAACAAAGCTAGAAACACAGGGTGAATCATAATTCTATTTTTGGGAGGTAGGATAAACCAATACTTCCTTTATGTCAAGAAATCTTCTGCTCAGCTTCTTGAGTCCAGAAGAATAAATAAGAAATACAGGAATTCCTGGAACATGAAGTGTTCTGTCTTCATTCTTTCCCAGAGTGAGGTCTCCAGTATACTGAATAAAAGAATATGAATTGAATTTGAATAGATTATTCACATTGAAACTCACAGTTACATAGAGCCCACCTAATTATTCTGTTAAGTAGTGTAGTAATTTCTTTATACTAGTTGATTTTTAAAAATTAGCTTTTTTATGACTCTTTGCATTTTATGTAATTTCAAAGGAAAGTTAGGAACTGATATTTAGAGATAATTTATGATCATTGACTTAAGTGAGATTTATGGATGATTAGTACTTCTGGAATTGGACTTCAGTTATACAGTCTTGAAACATACAGTGATGTAAGAGACTGAATCATTAACTATCTGGAGTGCTGCATCCAGCTGTGGAGCCCTCAACATCGGAAGAATATAGACCAGTTGGAGCGAGTCCAGAGGAGGCCACGAGGATGCTCAGAGGGCTGGAGCACCTCTGCTATGGGGACAGGCTGAGACAGTTGGGCTTGTTCGGATTGGAGAAGAGAAGGCTCTGGGGAGACCTTCCAATATCTGAAGGGGGCCTACAAGAATACTGGAGGAGGTCTTTTACAAGGGCCTGTAGTGACAGGACAAGGGGTAATGGGTTTAAATTGAAAGTGGGGAGGTTTAGATTAGATACCAGGAAGAAGTTCTTCCCAGAGAGGGTGGTGAGGCACTGGAACAGGTTGCCCAGAGAAGCTGTGGATGCCCCATCCCTGGAAGTGTTCAAGGCCAGGCTGGATGAGGCTTTGAGCAACCTGGTCTAGTGGAAGGTGTCCCTGCCCATGGCAGGGGGGTTGGAACTAGATGGTCTTTAAGGTCCCTTCCAACCCATAACATTCTGATTGTATGATTAATCTCATTATTAACTATTGCTGTGAAGATAAATTTTTGTATGAAAGGAATGATTGAAGTATTTGGAAACAACAGTTACCACCAATAAAACCCCCCTTAAAGTAATTGCTGCTTCCTTTTTTCAAGGCACTTTAAGAAGTACCTTTCTGATCAAGTCTTTATCTGCACATAAAAGCTATAGGGTATAAGTAGATCATAGTCCCATGTAGTTATTTTGGACAACTATTCTAGAAGGGAGGGAAACTAAGTTATTTTGAACTTGTGGGATATAGCTAAGCCAGAGTAATTCAATTGCAACATCGATCTGGCCAGGAAACCAATAGAACTATGTTTAGTTTTATGTGCTATGTTGTGCAATTTATAATGATTTACGAAGTACCTATCCTGGACCTCTTCGTGTTTGAAAGATGAAATTTTCAGGAATGTTATTTGTTTCAAGCATGATCAAATTTTGGTTCAATCAATCAGTTTAGTTTATGAAATCAGATGGTAATGTGATATAAAGTAGTGTATAAAATTTCAAACAAGGGATTTTTTTTTAATTTATGAGAAAAGAGCACATAATTAAAAATTTAATAACAATTTCTAAAATGCATGTAGCTGATTGGCTTATCTACAATAAAAAGCACTTCAAGACTTAAATAATATTTCTAGTAAGTAATTTTGAAATACAGTAAATGCTTGTTTTATCAGTGACAAATATTTGGAGGCTCACTGAAGTTTCTGCAACTTTTAATATTTGCTAACATAGAGGAAAAACAATTAGAAATTATTTGATGTGCTTGTATTTTTTTATTTCACTGAAGAGCTGCAATTATAAGAAGAAATGCTTATAATGCAATGCCATCCATTGATACAAAACTAATATTAATTCATTTACAGGTTCCAAAGATTTTCAGTGGGAATTTGTGCATGGCTTGTTTGAAAATGCAATTTATGGAGGCCGTGTAGATAATTACTTCGATATGAGGGTTCTTCGGTCCTACTTGGAACAGCTTTTCAATTCACAAGTCATTGGCAATTTAAGTGGTAGGGGCAAGAAGGTGGCAAGTTTCCCGTATTCGATCTCATTACCGAATTCCTGCAGTATTTTGGTAGGTGTACATCTTCTATTACCTAATATAGAAACTAAAATAAGTTATTTTCAAGACTTATTCTTGGAAATAGTTCTACAAATAAAATTAAGAAATTTATAAATAAGACTACCGCGATATGTTATGTGTTACATACTTATTTTAATCTTTGTGTTATGCAGTGCACTTAATAAAATCATTTTCAGCAAACGCTATTAATTTCATGAGCTGAACAAAAAATTCCCTTGGTTATGTTCATTCTTTTCTTCTAATGCAGGATTATCGTAATATTATCGAAAGTCTTCCAGAAGATGATAAACCTGACTTTTTTGGCCTGCCTGCTAACATTGCTCGTTCATCACAACGTATGATCAGTTCCCAGGTAACGTGATGTTTTTCACTCACATCTGAATCTTTCATGAGTCCAGTATAAGCTAGACAACCTAATAAGTACGAATTTCTGCAAGAAATTCAGAGTAAATGGAGGGATTTTTGGAATATGTTGATTTATTTGTAGAATTTTTTAATATAATAATAATCTTCAGTTACAGCGGTATTAATTTAGGATTTACATAAACAAAGAATTATTGAGAAAGTTTACAGTGTATAATTCATTTCATGTTGAAGAGTATCCACTGACGTAAGTAGTTTTGCTAATTCTATTTATACTATTAATCTAACTCCCATTAGCGGGATAGTTCTTGCAGCTGTTATTCACTGCAAGTTAAGGTTTTTGTTTTGGTCACCAAATTGTGATACAGTTGTTTGACAAGTAGAATTTTATGCTTTTTCTGAAAGAGAAATTCTGAAGAATTCTCCCAGTAGTCAGAATTCTCTTTACTAGTAGAAATGTGAAATTTTGAAAGAAAAAAAAAAGTTGTTCTCACTGGAGGATAGCACAGAACTACTTAGACGTGTCATAATGAAATTCTTAACATAATGAGAAGTAGGTTCCAGGGTTTTTGTAGGTCTTAGTTTAAATATTTACTAATTTTCTGTATTTCCATTATTGTTTTAGCTGTAAGATATGGCATACAGCTGTTTCGTAGTCAAGAGTTCTCAGCTATCATTTAGCTGCAGTCTAGTCCAGATTTGAATCATGTTTGATGTGTGAGAATGCAGTTATCTTAGTGCCTATTTATTTTTAGAGCTGTATATAAAAGCCTTGAGTGAGTGACCTGGTCTCCCATTATGCTGGGTCCTGTTAATGGCACCACTGGGGCAGATATTTTCATCCTTTTTGGAGCCAGAAAATACTGATTGTCTCTTTTGTTCTCCTCATAACTTCTATTTTGTTGGTCTAAGAAGGAAAAATAAGGCGTGATTTGAACTCTGGATGTCTTCATCATTAATGCATTATTTGGTTTGCTGGACAAACCTTTTATTGCTAATATTTTACCACTTCCCTTAGGTTTCAATTCAGTTGCCTAAGAATTGGTATCTTGAATCATCTGGAGATGCCCTAGTGAATTACAACATCTGCTAGGCAGTGCCAAGTACAACACAGGACCTAAGTTAATACATTTCCTTCTTGGGTCAGCAACTGGTCAGGGGCAGAAGCCAGTATTTACGCAACTGATTCCCACTTGCTTGTGTATCTTGATCCAGTAGAGCACGGATTTGGAGGTCCTGTGTCATGTCTGCCTATCCATAACATTTTCTTGGATATCATGTCTTAAATGGCATTATGTGTAATAACTGAGTTGAGCCACTGAGGCCAAGAGTCCAGGGAGGACTTTGACTAAGATGTGGTGGTATCTCAGCCTGAGTTGGAATTTGGTGGTACTCTTAGGCAGGTGAAAGTCCACCTTTTGTTTATTCAGGTTTGCTGGGCATTCTAGCAACTTTTAGTTCAAATTTGGAGCAAGATTAGGACTTTGAGGCAAAGCTTAAATTCTTTATTCTACTTCTTTTACATTATTTTTTAGTTAAGACTGGATGAGAGCACGATTACTATATAAGCACAGTTGAACAGTACAAATCTTTAACTGGTGACTGCCATGGTTTATTGGACTGGTAAATTCATTGCATCAGATAACACGAAGGTTAATTGAATTGAGTATCTTGTCTAAGAGCTGTGAACTGGTCTGTGTATCAAGACTCTCTTTAATTTTCTGCACAGTCCTAGCATACTGTCTTATATAAGGACAAGTTACAGGGAAAAAACCCCAAGATTAAATCATGGAATCGTAGAATAACAGGTTGCAAGGGCCCTCAAGGATCATATGGTGCTACCTTTCTTGGCAAAAATCAATTGGAAATGCACTGTAATTGGAATTCCATATAATTACAAGACTTAGCATTACTTTTTTATAAAAAAGCATCTGTTTGCTCACACTCACCTAAGAAGGGCTCCATGCAGAAATTTCTTATTGGTATAAGAGCTCTGATTATTGCATTTGTTAAATATCAAATACAGTACTGGTAAATTTGTTTAAATATATCTGTTCACTTAAATCTCTGGGTGTATTGTCAAGTGATTTGTTTTATTATTAGCACATGAAACTATAAAGCTGTATACAGACAAATCAGAAGGATGAGAGTGCATACGATAATAGAGTGAGCTCATCAACTCCTCTGCTACAAAAGCAAAATTGCACCAGGACTCAGTGTAGCTCTACTTGTTTTTGTCTTAAAATCTTTTACATAAACATCAACTTTAAATGCTTTCGTTTCTATCATTGTAGACTGCTGATTATTTTATTTATTTTAGCTATGCTTACATAACTTAAGAGCTGCAGTTGTTAAAAATGCTAGTATTTAAAATAAGTCCTTAGTTAACCTCTGTGAAATCAGAATAGATTCAGAGTTCCTTTGTGACGGGAAATAGGTAATGCACACATTTACATGCAGACTCTGAACTGGGCTGTCATAGCATTGATTATAGTCTAGAAACTATGGATTATAGTCTTGAAAATATGAGACTGTTGTAGTTACAATTCTGTGAGATGCTTCTTTGTCATATGAGAGATTTTTGCATTGTTCCAATAATAGTTTGTGGTGGTACTTTAAGTCTTTGGCAATTTAAGTAACAGAAATAGGAGATTTTTCTTAAATTGTGTTTCTACCTAACTATGAATCCTACTCCCATTGCATTTCTGACAGTTTGGCATCAGTCTTAGATCCATAGGTGCTCCCATGCTTCAATCTGAAATTGAATGATTGCCTTCTAACAGGAGTCTTTCTCATAATTCCATTACCACGCTAAAGCAGAGAAAAGCTGAATGAATAACTGAATAAAGTAGTGAGAAATAATTTGCTGCCAGCTCAGTCGCCATGTGAGTAGCACTAGAAAGGGGAAATTTAATACTGTGTCCACCACTTCACTGATTCTGTGCTAAGTATGTGTATATGCTCTTACAGTTTATATCTACTATCCCATATAGATTCTCATCTATTAGCCATTATCATTTGTCAGTCTGTATTTTTACTAACATCATCTTCCTTATGTAGAGATGCACAGAACTGTATTCTCTACACCACTGACCTCAGGATTAGGGGAAGTAGGTTTTTTTTAAAACATACGTATTTTGCAGTTACTTGTTTAAATCCACTGACAGCAATTCAACTTTAGTCATATGTTCAGGCTCAGTGATTTAAAATAATCATTCAGATATACATTGATTTTAAGTAAATTGTAATTAGAAATCTTTTATTAGTTCAAAATCTCTTAAAATAAGTACTAAAACAGGTGACATTATGATCTATTCTATTGACCATGAACTTAACTAATGTAATTCTATTAGAAGAAATCTGATATTATTTTATGGCATTGTTTCACTGCACAAGATGAATATTTAGATAATAGAAATTTAGATTTTATATAGAATTTCTATGAATATTATTTATTTTTTATGTATAGGAATGATAGTTTGTATTGCTGCAGCTACAGACAGCAGAAATTTGCTGCAGCACAGTGCAGCATTTTGCAGTCATGCAGAGATCTCTTCTGTAACCTACTGCATTGCTAATGTTTGGGTAAACCTAAAACAGCACTAAAAAAAAAAGGACAATTTCAGTAACCTTGCCAATATTGATTATATTCACAGCTTTCCCATTTTCTAGTACACAACTTCAGGTCTAATTTAAGAGCTGAATATTGCCAGCTGTTTAATTTCAATATTGGCAAGTGCTAATTGAATTGTTAGAAATTGTCTTTTGACATTCTATAGTAAAATTCAGAGTATTAATACTGCATGTGTACTTGTAAGAGCTATTTTGTTTTTAAGAAAATATTTTACTTAAATAGACGTGATCTTTTGAGAAACCTGATTTTTTTTTTTTTTCCCCTGGATTTTGTCCTTAGTTGCTTTATGTAGGAAGAGCTAGGTAAATTTTTAGAGGGTTTCTAGAGTTCACTGTGGCTCTTTGGTTCTGCCTTACCCAGTGTTAGAACAAGCCTTTAGCACAACATCCCTTAGGTTGGATATGGTCATAAATAATCTCACATCTCCTGCCACGTTCTCTCTGCAGAACAGTGCAGTTAACATAGAAAAGACCTCAGCTGACAGTGCAGCAGCAGGAGTCAGCATAGCTCATCCTGTCTATTTTACACCAGGTAGAGATTTTCTGTACAGCTGCAACCCAAGTTTCCTTACACTCAGCAGGAGTCCTCACCCCTCAGTTACAGTCATGCTGCTTTCTTCTGGTCTGATAAACCCTGTATTCTTGCCTGCATATATTGGCCTGTTTTCATTGGTTTAATCTCCCAGTCTAACCTAGAAACAATGAGAGCAGTCAGAATATGTGGTGTTTTGCTTTAGGTTTCCTGTGGATGAGAAAGGGCCGTAATTTAAATCTCTCTCCAGTCACCTTCTTGAAAAGTGGGCTTTTGGCTTCAGTGTACTTCTCCCTTATTCTTGGGACCATATTTATCTTCTTTTATGATTTCCTTTGAACCAATCTCATCCTTTATTATAATTTTTTGATAAAACCATACATAAAGTGTCTTAGTCATGATAACACCATATGTGATAAATAGAATTTTTACAAACTGAAGCGGCCAGGCCTGCATGTGTATTTTTATACCTTGAAAAAGCAGTAAGGGCTGTCTTGTTCTGTGCAGGATTTAGCATCCCTGCAACTAATATGACATTGCCTGTAACCACTCTAGGAAGATGAAGTGAAAATGAAGAGCCATTGTTTTGTCTCCTTCCTTTCTTTGCACAGAAGACTTGGTGATTACAGGCTTTCCTTAGAGAGCTTAACATTTAAAGCCTTCTGTTAGTGTTGTATGATCCCATTAAATCCTGTGAAGTGGCTCTGCCTGCAGATGACTACAGCCTGTAACCAGTAGCTGTGTATCAGTTACTGGTAACCAGTCAAGGTTACCAGGTCCTTTTCCCACTGGGCAGCTTTCCAGACACTTGTGCCCAAGCCTGT